TACTTCACATCCTCTGTAGCTCGCACGATGGGCTTCGCCACAAAGAGCACACATCGCAGGCTCGTCTCTTGGCTTCTGGCAAGTGTTTGAAGCGTGTAGGCCGGCACATTTAACGCACCTGACTTCGTGATAACAATAGGCCTTTGTATGGCCCAAGTTTTGACACTTAGTGCATTGTACAATTAGAGGCTTCTATTTCGGTTCCTCAAAACGGACAATTGAGTAAACCAATCGTTGAACCTGGAATATTTCAACATTGGTTTTTGCTGGTTCCAGGTCTATAAAAAATAATGGTAGCGGATATCTTTCTCTAGGATGTAGTACAGGTGCTATGTGCCTGACATTATGACCGATTTCTTCGAGGCCCGATTTGATAGCAGATATGGGTGTGGTTGAATGTAGTCCTCTCAGGACCACTCGATACGCCTTTTCTTGTTTTAATTAGTAACAGTGGAAGTCGTAGTTATTGGTCGTTAAGAAATTAATTAGTTTTTTATAATTGTCTCTAGAATTAGTATTAATTTTGATGTCGTTCACTCTCGAGTAACATCGAAAATTTGGCTGTCCGATCAAGTCTGCAATTTGTTGACCAAACGACATAAAGTTCTTAATTTTTGAAACAAATATTGGCGGCGGCTCAGGATCAGAAAAATCTTGAAGCTGCGGAGTCTTGTGAGATAGGTTGTTTTCTTGAATTGAATTTTTGCTTTCTGATGTTTTTGGTGCAGTTGGCTCTGATTGAGTGGCATTAGATTTGCTCCTAGTTCTCGGTGGAGATTTATCTTGTTCTGGTTGCTTATTTGATTTATTTTTCTTTTTTTTTTTATTAGGTGAGTTTTGTCCCGATCCGGGAACTGAGTTTCGGAGACGCTTTTGGAGTGTACGCCTTTTCAACTATTGCGAGTCGGTCTCGCTAATTTCCGAAAAGGGTGTCTCATCCTCCGTGTCTTCACATGATGTGTTCTCATCCAGATCCATCATGATAAGTGTTAGAGAAAATTAAGAAAAAGAAAAAAAAATATGTCTATATATATAAACCTAAATATTAAAATTAAAATTTATGAGATAACTTCTTAAACACTAAGCTATTTACAAAATTATTTACATAAATATATACAGATATAAAATAAAATATAAAATAATTCATTTCCAAAAAATAAATAATCAAAGAAAAAAAATGAAATAAAAGAGTCTCTGGAAAGAAAAAAAAAAAAAAGAAAATATAAAGAAAAAAAAAATGAAGTTAAATGTCTTGGATTCGAACTGAGAACAACACTGAAGAATGTTATTGTACACAGTGCCGAGCCTTGGCTTGAATTTATCGCAGATAAGGTAAAACCCGCAAGGGAATTACTAGCCACATGGGCTAACCAAACGAGCACTAATTTATAACTGTTTCATTGTTAATAAATAGTCACTCACCTGATCATATGTGAATATATAAATATAAAACTATTAATATAGTCACTGTTGAAAAAGTCTTAGAGCAGTATTTTAAATAATAAGCACATTAGATCGTATCAAAGGCAGAGCGACGTGTAACTTGAATTGCACTAGCGGCCATGACACTTGCTACTATTAGATAAAAATAAATCTTATAGTAACTTCGTACATATACGTCCTGTGATCCTTATAATACTAATTATAATCTAAACTGTGCTACATGTTCCTAATTATAAAGACCAATTAGATATATTAGCTGTTAATTGCAAAGTGAGATAATGTATAATAGTCCGTGGTACAGACCCCTTTTTATCGAATTATTAACATCCGCAGTAACATCTGTATCTGAACCTTCGTAAATAGTTTCATCTCATCGCAACCTACAACTATTTTATTTACGAAAACTCTTGAAATTGAGGCATTCTCAATCTGGGGGGGGGGGACAAACTTTGTGTATTTAATTAAGTACTAAAAACTCGTAAATACCCATTTTATTTCTACTTGTATCGTAAGATAATTTGATCACAAAATCGATAAAAAATATTGGCGTACAAAAATTTTGGGCTGTTTGTCCTATATAACTTTGTTATTTTGAAAATTTATGGGTATAGGTCAAGCCAAACGGCTCAATATTTTTTAAAGCCACCTATTTTTCTCGATGTTCCGATCAAATTATGTTACAATGCAAGTAGAAGTAAAATGGGTATTTACTAGTTTTTAGTACTTAGTTAAATAGACAAAGTTTGCCTCCCTCCAGATTGAAAACGCCTCGATTTCAATAGTTTTCGTAAATAACATAGTTGTAGGTTACGATGAGATGAAACTATTTACAAAGTTTCAGGAGGATGTTGATAATTCAATAAATAGGAGTTTGTACCACGGACTATAACCTGAAAGTACAACTTAAGTTGTGATGTAATTATAGGTGATTAATATTATAAAAAATTTAATGTTTTGAAAATTATATCTTTTGTTAAAATTATAAAACCTATTTGACTGAATACTCTTGAGTTGTTGTTGATTAGTTTTTAAATAAATCAGAATATATTCAAATAATTTTTTTTATCATCCATGTTCCCGATAGAGCTCATACAACTTACCCAGTTGGGGTAAGTTGTTACCATTTTGTTTTCCCGTTTACTAAATTTCATATAAAAACATTCGTTAAAGGTACACCCAAAAGTCTTTCAGGTTTGTGATGAAGAATATGTGTACAAATTAAAAGCTAGTATAAAGTTTGTTAATAAATCATATTACAAATAATATTTGAGGTTGTTTAACAATCGTAACTTGTAGCCTCGCTCTTCCCTATATTATTGGGATAAATAGATACAGAAATGTTTTATCTCATTTCTATTCTATATGATATCACTTAATTTTTAATCATAAAATCAACAGTGAAAACTATTACATCGTAGTTTTTCGTTTAAGAATTGCCTATAAATGTTATTCGGGAATATACAACTTTAATGTTTTTTATGTTGACAATATCAATGTCAGGAATGTTTTTTAAAGTTTGTTAATATAAAAGTTTGTTTTCCACATCGTCGGTTTAATGCAAACAGTCATCTTACATTACAGTACATTTTTGATGAAGCTGAACTTATTTATCGATAAAACATTTATATCAAATATGGTTAGCATATGTCGAATCCCAAAATGGGAAAATTCATCAATGTTCTGAGTGATTCAAGGTTATTAAATGTCACCTTAAACCAAGAATATTTTTATTTTTAACGTCCGTCAAGACATGTTCCATGCTGTTCTTCTGAAGTCTGTTCGTTATCTTCACAGTATTGTAGAGTCTATGTATACAATCATAACTGTTCCATTTATTTATGAAATATATAAATAGTTGTTGCCAGCTATTTATGGTTATATGATGAGAGTTGGTAATGACGCTGTGTTGGTAAATATTAATCATATGGAGAATATATTTTCGCCTTGACATATAGATATCAACTCTACATTAGACACCGCATCTTCAAAGACTATTGATTGTTGAAGAATTAATATTGAGATAACAGAGTTTTATTATGTGCAATGATGATAAGCAATAATAACTGTTTGTTACCGCATTATAATTACGAATAAAGTTTGAGCCGCCCAATCGATTTTATAATGGGCCATTGAAGTATGTGATGTAACATTTATGTAAGTATAATGTAAACTTTACATTAACTAATTGTTTTACCCAATGGGTTTCAATGGAGCGATTAGTTATTTTTAATGGTATATTTACTCAAAACTTAAATTTGACGAGTTACTATTTATACATTTTTACAATGCTATTAAAATTTCGTATTCTTGAATTCAATTTTATTGAATGTCTACTTTTAAAATCTTAATATTAAATTTAGATTAAAGCTCAAAATTTTGCTTCCTTCGACCTACTACTTGATACTACTTTCTTACTTGACGGACTTTGCTTTACTGTAAAATTTTCCAGTATAAAATGGGTTAGATCAGTAGTTTCCCAAGGCAGTGTATTCGGATCATTATTGCTCACTATTGTCACAGCAGATATACCAGAACATGACCAAACTTCACTTATTACATTTGCTGACGATACTCGCACTTCTTACGTCACACTAAAAACTATGTAATTGCGTCTTTAAGCATACAAAACCATTTAGATGATATTTATATTTGAGCTGCAAGTCAATCATTGAATGAATGATTGAGCATATCCACAGGTATACTATAACAACGTCTCTATACCAATATCTGAAGAGGTGCGTTATTTGAGAATAAATCTGGACAAGAAACTAACATGGTGAACCCATGCTACAGTGAACAGAAATCAACTGAACAAACGATATGGACTATTATCCATGTTATTTGACAGACGCTCAAAATTATCATTGACTAACAAACATACCATCGACAAACTACTTTTAAAACCTTTATTTAATTAAAGGATAGAGCTATAAGGCAATGCAAAAACCTATAACATCCTTTAAATTCAACATTTTTGAGAAATATAATAGACGCATCGCTGTATGTGACAAACTACTTGCAACATAAACACTTGGACATCCAAACGGTTCCAGAGAATGCAAAACAGTAACATAACTGCTATATACCATAACTACTTCAACCAGAGACTTAAAACTCAAACCCAATAGCCCTAGCACTTATTTCCACCACGAACCCGTATATCTCAACCCGACGACTTTTGAGGCGGTGGCTCAGAAATTTTTTCACTTGTAATGTGCCATAAAAATATGTAATTTGTAGAGATTTGCATATTGCATATTGCAAAAACTTTGTAGATGACAAATTTTCAAACCTGACTTAATAATTTATTTTATTCACTTATACTAGGACTGATGCATCTTATAACAAAATCTTAAACGATAAGCGCGAGTGGTTATTTTACATTCTGAGGAGAAAACATATTTAATTTTTTAAAAAATAATAAATTCTTGTTTTCACTCGTTTTCACTTACTATTTATTTTCTAGAAAATACAAAAAAAAAAAAGAAAATAAATTTCTTTAAAATTCAAATTTTCCTCCGATTTTACAGTAAGTCTTGGATTCCATTGAAGGGAAAATGCATAAAATCGCTATAAAGAGTAATATTGGAAAACATTTTATTTTATATTCTTGTTCAGTATTTTATATTATTTTAGTTATTCTAAAAAGCTAACAACAGTTATTCTACTTTTGTTTCCAACAGGCTTTGTCACCTTTTCCTTATATTTCGTACATACGTTTCAAAAGACATTTAAAGAGTTATTATTAGTTTGAAGGGTACCTGTTTCGTATTATACTTCAAAATATATAGATTTTTCAATGATTTATTTCATTTGGTGGTATAGCTTGCATAATTTCATTAGGTTTCTTATGATTCACACCATGTATTTTTATTTTTATTGTATTTGTGTTCATCTTGAGTTACGGGTGCGGTTTGATGTATGTTACACATACAAAGGAAATAATTTATCTGTAGATTATTAAACTCTTGGATAACGTAATTGTCTACTTTGCTATATTCTTTAAATAATATACATCAATTTTGTATCAGAAGCAATAAATTTTATATTATCAATGAACAAGAATCAGGATGACGTTATATAGACAGTTTGATTGGTTTTCCTTGTTCTTTAGTATTTCGCGTAATTATTATTTTTAATTTGAGAATACAAAAAACAAATGGAAAAAAAAATCTTATATAAAATGTATGAAGGATAATTGAAGATTGTGAATGGTTTGGTCACAATTTTTTTTTATATATACGAAAAAACTCCCAGTTGTCGGCACTCCACCCAGTTTTCGAAACCCTTCGGTGGTGAGAGGGGAAGGAAGGGGAGTGATCGAATAAAAACAAATGTTGAGGGGGCGAGAATATCGCTTCGTTCCCTCCATTAATTTGAGTTTAAAAAAAAATCAATTATAAATAAGCTGAATGAATAAAATGTGTAAACTAAAATCGATAAAGAAAAGTCAACTAGCTGGCTAGGGCCTAGAAGTAGGTATGTAACTATTTTATTGATACCTAAATGTTACTTTTATTTAAATTACCATTTATATTAAAATATAATAATATAAATCAACATATCCTACGATTTCATAATTCAATCATCCTTCAATTTTTACCTGATTTTCTTATCACATTTTTAGCGACAAACGAGACGGACTGTGAAAATCGTTATTATTTGAGGTTGTAACCACTGAGAAAGATATTGTTTACTTTGTTACATTTTTCTTTTCTAGCTATTCTAAAAATCTACCAATGTTATGAAGAATTTCTCCATCCCTCCCCGTGTTTAATTTCAACAAATAAGTTACTTATTTATTCAATTTATTTTTTTTTTTCAAATATTTTCAGGTATACTTAAAACTATATAAATATACAAACAAATTAATTTAAAATTTTCACAATATTGTATTTCTTCGATTCACAATAATTATTTTGAATTTTTACGCATAATAAAAAATTGGAGGAATTTGTTGGTCTATCCCAATCAAAATAGAAATTCTGCGCCTATGTCCGTTGCTGTTGTTGAACAATATTTGAATATATAGAATGGTCTATAGCTGGCCAAAGGAGCATATTTGAACCGCGAGTCCTTCCTGCATACGCATATTCTATCTTTTCCCTCTATTTATTTAGTTTCATAGGTCGAAAAAATCGCTGAAGATAAGAAAACCCAAAGATGACGCCCAGGAAGGACGTGTCTCACGTTCTTGGTAAGAAACATACATTCCTGCACAATATCATTGAAGTTCTTTCATCCTGAAGGCTGCTAGATTTAACTCTCTAGGTTTTTGAAAATCGGGTAAGGAGTTTCGAAAAGGGGTGTGAAAAATATTATCTAACGTAAATATTTTCCGTTTTATTATATAAAAATAAATGAAAAACACTGTTCCATATTTATATATAATGAAATTAGAGACCTTTACTGACTAAACAGAACCGATATTGTTCAACCAAGTACCCACGGGATTGAAAAACAAGCCATATTTTAGAGTTTCCTTAAGGGTAAAACAACTGCGAGTTTTACATTATCTGTTCAAGCATTACATATTTTACAAGACAGGATTAAGTAAAATGGTCGTACACTGTCGAGAAGAAAAAGACATAGAAGTTATTAGATTGTTTACACAATAAAAAAAGAATTTCCTGTAAAACTATCACTGAAATCGTAAAATTCTCATCAATAAATAAATGTGGTCATTAAAACATGGGGCATAAAATAATAATAAGAAATTTTTATCCGTAAAAATTAATAAGAACAACTGCTATAAAGTTATAAATGATAATATGAGTAACACAGAATACTAATAAAAGAAAGAACAAAGAAAATAATAAAATAAAAAAAATTATACAAAGTTTTATGTTGATAAAACTAAGATTTATAAAAAAGGGGCATGATCACAGATGAGTTTAAAATAATGATGATAACATTGATGAGTTAAAGGATATTGTTAGCACAGTAAAGCACATTTCTGATTCAACTGGAAACATAAAAAAAATATTAAATATGGACATAAAAACATAAATTTCTTCAAACAACTCCTGTTCCACCACCTACTCCACATTCAAACTTCCGCTAACATGTAAAATTACTTTTATCTGTATACTGTGTAATTTTAATCTAATGCACAATTTCAATAAAAATAAATAGTTAATTTGTTTGTATTTTTTAATATATTAATACAGACTAATACCCATTAATTTGTAACTCTGTTAGTATTCTTAGGGGACTGTAGTCCCATAATAAAATTATTTTTTCATTCATTCATTCAAAAACATTAACTTTAGATTTTATAACAATTAATATATAATAAATATCATTAAATATATGATTTAAAAATTGCTAAAAAAAGTTGAATACATAAAATAAAATGTATCTAATGTCTGCAAAAATGATAAGGAGAGAACATACAGTATTTACAAAATGGAAGGAAACAACATATTGCTAATGCTAAATATGTACAAGTAACAGTAGTAATCAGAAAATTCTAAATTATCATCAATTAGATTTAGATAATAAAAAGATATTAAATAGAGAAGCCTCGTAATAATTGAAATCAATTATTGCCTCGATGCAGACCGAATCTTCGATCTCCTTGTATAACTATACTGGCTGTTGACCTATATCTTGCCATGATTATACTTCCTTACAGATTGAAACTACTGAAAAAAAGAAGACATTCATGGGTTAGTGTAGTACCAGTTTATTAGAATGAAACAAAATTGTCAGGAATTTCAGTCACGATAATATTTATTGAATCAACCAACACTTCGGCCGAAACATGTGGGTCATCATCAGGGCTATCGTTCGGATGTTGAGACTAGACCATTGGCTAACGCAATAAATATTATCATGACTGAAATTCCTGACAATTTTGTTCCATCCTCATAATAGATCAATGGACTATTTACACATCTCTACAAGTTTATTAATTTATTATTTTTTATATTCATCAACTAAGGTTTCATCCTTTACTTTCTAGTAATAATACATTTTTTATATGTTTTCTTTAATATTTTATTTAATTGATACATACTCTGTCATAAGTTCATATAATACATTGACTGTCTGCTGAAAGTAGGATCCCTTTTTAATATTGTTGATGAAGCCCAGTACCCTTTAAAAAAAAAAAAAAACTTACCAATCCATAAAAAAATATTGTTTTTATGTAACTTTTTTACTTGAATTTTTCTGCTATCTGAGTTATTTTTTTTATAGAATCAATGTGCTTTAATGCCTTAAGATTTCTCGTTTGGCTTATTATTGATCAACTACAACTTTTTAAACTTGTGACACCATTTCATGTAATCAACAAAATGTAGAATTCACATACAATATGATAATATGATTAAGATTGTTCTAAACTAGCTATCTGTATAGCTATCTAAACTCCAACACCATCTGTTGGCAGTAGTGAGAACTATCACATCTTTTTTTGTTTATTTCTGCCCTTATCATATTTTTATTGTCTATTTTAAATAGCTGTTTTAAAAAGTTATATATTATATATTATATATCTGCTGTTCTCCTGAAGTTAAGCCTACCAATATTTTACTCTTCAAATTAATATGATCTTAGTGCAGAATTTTGATGCAAAACCGAATCTATGTTTCAGGCCGCAATATATTTAATTTATTTTTTCATTCTTATTTCATATTTATTTACTTTGTTTCATTCTTTTGCAATGATTGAGTGGCTGCCCTGTTTTTCTTCTTTTCTATTGGCTAGTCCTTTTTTAGAAAAAGACTGTGAACCTATCCCTTTACTTCTTCATAAAATTCCCAATTGGCATTCTGATTTGATAAAACTTCTACTATTAATTTATAGTAGTTGTAAATTTAAATTAATCGTAATAACTTTCTAAGATGCTTTTTGATATTTTTTAGGCTTAACCCGAGTACACGTTTACTGGTAGTCTTTTCTTAGGACTTACATTAAAATTAAAGTACTTTATACCTCGTATTAACATTTATTTTCTATTGTACTAGAATAACTCTGTATACTGATTATATATAAAGTATTTTATTTCACTATCCTTGATAGATACCAATATGTAAAATTGTTGAGGGTTGTCTTCCGATTTTCAAGGAAGTTTGTTTATTTTCAGTCGCTAAATATTTTGACAGAAACATTTTAAGTTTATGTGAGTGAATTATTCTGAAATGACCGTACATCTGCTTAGGTTGGGTGTAAATATGGACTTAAAAGTAAGTTTGTTTAAAAGCTAAATTATTATGAGGTTTTGAATTTACAAGTTCTCATAAAGGTGGGTAAAATAATGTTAATTCTAGACTCAGTGGAATTTTTTTCTCGTTTTTTATTCGTGAACAATCTGCCTACCGAAAAATAGCAAATTTTGACGATTTTTCAGAGAGTTCACCAACGAATCTTCGGAGTTATTATTAATCAGCTAATAATCAGATATTGAATCAGTTTAAGAATATTGAAATCATAACAGTGATAATGCAGTTCCTACAGTGCTGATGAGAGAATGAGGTCATGATAAAGCTTACAATTTAACATTTTCGTGACTAGCGAAACCGATTCGAATCCGGCTTGATCGGAATGAAATTTATTTCGTGACAGGTCCATGATATGGTCTTCCCACTTTTGTTAGAATAGATTTGGTTGCACCTCTAGATCAACCCCCTTTTCGTAGAGAGTAATTGAAAAAAAAAGTGCTGATGATAGAACTCTTGCGTGAACGTCGAACGGCTGACAGAACAATATTACATATTTGATGTTTACAAATAATGGAAAAAAAGTAGA